CTGTTCTTGAGTAACCTTTGATTAACTTTATGGTGTCCCAGATAATAGGCTGCAGTGATTTTTCAGCAGCGGAAGATATGGTATACATTTTTGTTTCTTTCTGTTGCCCTTGCAATTACCAGAAAAATCCTCAGGGCAAATAATTGTTCAATTAGATAATTGTTCAGTTAGAACATTCTTCATCGTATTTCTGTGAATATTTATCAGTATTTTTTAATATCTAATTTTGTACAGTGGATGCAAATGAAGACAATCTGATTTTTTTTTTTTAGTTTTTAAAATTTTACTTTTTAAATAAATGCTTATAGAATTACCTTTTACCCTTGACGGGAATGTATCTTTAAGAAATACCTAAAAGGTGGTGTTTTCGGTTTTCTCTGGAATCAGTGAAATATCATGATCTACTCTGAATATGTGTATGTATATAAACCCGGGAATGTTTTCTTTTTTTGCCTTTTAATGCTGCTGCTTTTGCATTTTCCTGGTGTCTTCATTAGGAGCTCCGTCATCTGAATGTTGAACATCTAATATGCGTCTCACATGGTTACAGCCTCTTACTGATCATTTCCATTCCTTTGCCTTTTCTATTTAGCTGTAGGGAAAGCTTCAAAAGCTCCCCTTCTCAGATGATAAATTCAATTTTCTGCATTTTTCAAATCTGTGTTATTGCATCTGAAACCACTTTAAATTCCTTACTTTTAATACTGCAGGATCTTCTTCCATCTCAGTCTTATTTCATTACAAAACAACAAAGGCTCTGCTTTTCTTGACGATTGTGAGCTCCAAAGTCATTTTGTATAAAAGGTACTTCAATATTCTATGGCAAATACTCTTCAAAGGTATGTTATTCCTCTGCTTCTTGAATGTCTTTCTGAATTTCCTTCTGTTACTCTGCAGCTTTTATTGGTAGGTCCTGTTCTCCTTCTGTTTTTGTTTATTTACATATCCTTCACTGTGGGCGGCCTTTTTTGCATTGGCGTTGCATGTTACCATCTGACCCAGCATCCCTGGGGGACAGTGAGGATGCTCCGGGGTGTTGACATGCCCAGCAGGGGAGATCCCTTGCCCCAAGGTGCCTTCTGTGAGTTGGGTGCAGGGGCCGCATGGGCACTGGTTTCCTGTAAGTGGTTTTAGGTTTGGACTCTTCCAGGAGCACAGTGTGGCTATGTCAGACCTCCTGCCCCATCACTGTCTCTGTTAGGGAAGAACAGCATTAGCAAGATGCCTTGATGGTTTAGGTCTTTCTGTGCAGTGCAGCGCCCCCTATGCTTGGGTCTCTGATTCAGCTGATGGCAAAGCTGGTTGGCTTCCAGCATTGGAAATATTGTCAGGTGTGGGAGCACCCACATGGCCCATGGCCTTTGCTCTTACAGATATCAGGGTAGATTTGTCAGCTGCATAGATATCAGATATCTTACAGATATCTACTCAGCTGACAATTATTTTCTTTCTATGACAATATCATGCTGAGGATTGCCAGATTTGGGAAATACAACACAAGATGCCTAGTTACATTTGAATTTCAGAAAAACACAATTTTAAAATATTTATTTTTAATTATTAGCATGCCCTATGGAATATTTCTGTTTTCTGGAAATCAAAACATAATTAGGTGTTTGTGTTTTGTCTGGCAGCCCTAATCATTCTGTTTTCTATGTGAGGTATTTGAGTCCCTTGTGACTCCCAGTAATTCTTGCAGTCTATGGCATGCAGGTTGTACCTAATTTTCAGCATGAATGTAGATTTTTCTTCCCTATTACCATATTCTATTAGTTATTGCTTTTGAGTCCACATAGGGGAAAATTGAGAGTCTTGTGCTCAAATTGCTTTCTTCCCATATTTTTTGAAAAAGTATTATTCAGGGGAAAAAATGATCCTTTCGAAAATGTTAAAATTAATACAAAATCTCTCCCAGACCACTGAGTTGCTTCAAGATGTGAACATGCCACTCTCCCTCAAGTAAGAATTACAGCCATGGCACCCAATCAAAAAGTAATTTTTGTCCTTAGCAAATTATTAACTGACATTTACTGTGTATAGCTTCTTTGTTATTTAACACTTTGCTAATTTTTATGTTAAATATAAATGGTGTCCTTTAGTGATAGTAACCACTCCTGTAGGGATGAGAGGATAATGAGTTTTATGATGCATTCTGTGCATCGTGGAATATAATTGGCATTATTTTTGTAGTATTATTAAAAAAAAAAGGAAGGAAGTGACACTAGCTTGAGGTCGATATGGAGCAATTTTAAGCAATAAACATTTAGGTCAGATACCAGGCAAAATGACTAATACACCATTTGTGGAATAAAGCTAAGAAGTTACTTCCCTTCAAATGACGTTTGCAGTGACCCCTGATTGCCTTATTGCTTTCCTGAATAAAATTGGAGGACCCAATGTCGTTGCCCTTGGAATGTGTAATTAGCTGTGCAATTAAGTTTTGTGGCCTCAAGTAGTCGGGGTCAGATGTTCAACAGGGAAGTTCACGGAACCTTGGTATCTGGCATTAATGTTTAACCATCTGTAATTTGGTTGTCTGGCTTTGGCTGTTTCTAGCACAAATGGCAAAAGAGTGCTGAGGCAGCTCAAGGTACTTGTTCTAAGTGGTGCCAAGATGTGTTTTTAACAATAGGGCACGCTGTATCATTGATGTAGGTCTTATAGGAGTCTCATTACATGGAGAGGCCCATCTTCCTTAGTCCCATATCACCAGGATTACATGGAACTCTTAATGGGATAAAAGGATCCAGGATGCTGATTACAGGGATGGAAGCGAAGAGGACAGTGAATAACATCCTAGCGTAAAAACAGAATCTGCTCTTTGTAACAGTAAAAGCATAATACACTTGTTGATTCATTCATTCACGTGTTTATCGAATATTTACTGAATACCTGATATTTACCAGGCACTCTCCTAAAGACTGTGAATACAGCGGAGAAAAAAGCCCTCTGTATCATTTCTGCTCCCTGCCTTATCCCACACTGGAGCACATAGAGAATTACAGCAAAGCATAATGTGTTTTGATGCAGGAAGTTGGGGATGCTACAGAAAAACCCAGATGGAGAACATAACCCAGAATCATACAGTCAAGGAAAGGATCCTAGCAAGGTGACTTTGATAATGCAGCCAGAGAGGTCACAGAAATGTGGCTAGGCAAATGGGGAGAGGGTACCGAGAGAGGGGATGAAAAATTCTCTGCCTCTTCTTTGTTTTTACCATAACTCACATGTGAAAATACAAGTTTAGAGATAATATAAATCAGGAGTTATTTCCATAAAGTTAAAACATGTAATCTTTTTAAGGCATGAAGTCCCTTTTTATATCTATGATATTTTGATTTTTGAAAACAAAAATCCATATTTGTGACATTGAACCCTAGGAACTTGTCCTTTGGGTGGGTGCAGACTGCTTACTTATAAGCAGTCTCAAATGGTTCAGCCCAAGACAAGCCTTAATTGTTTAAATGGAAGCTCAGCCTGCTCTGAGTTTGGTGATGCCGTTGATTGGAGAGATTTTTTCATCCAGGGCCTTCTGTAAACTCAAGTTGAATACATCTGTTGAACTTCTTGTCTAGAAGTTAAATTGGATGCAGCCTGACACCCTGCGGTATCACAGCTGGGCTGAGGCTACAGCGCTCCAGTCAGCCCCCTCGTGCTACCAACGGGTCCACGGGAAGCAACGAGGGTCAGTGACCTGCTCTGTGGTCTCGAGAAGCCAGGAGCAGGACCCCTGCCTCCGAGCTCTTGGCTCTCTCAGCTGCTGGCAGACGACTGCCAAGAGGGGTCCTGACTCAGGTAGGCATCATGCTTCCAAATGTGTGTTTGTGTGGGCCTTTGAGAAAGGTGACGCCGTGAGTGTCCGAGTCATCAAAGGTAATTACATGGTGACTGACGAGAAGGGCTTTAGCATAACTTGTGGAGCTTTGCCTAGAAAGTCAGCATTCCCAGAGCCAATAGTTTCCATTTCTAAAACTCCTTAAATTGGTTCTTTGGATTATGCAATTGCTCTGCCTGCATTTTTCTTACAGAATGTAAGATCACCTGTAAAAATAACATTTTGGATTTTTCTCCCCCTGAGGGAGAGATACGTTCAGTGCGGAATAATGAACACTGGTTTTTGTTTGTTGCTGACCGCGTAGTGTCCACAGGATGTGGCTGGGATGGAAGCGGGGTGCTGCCCTTGCTTCTTAGGTTCTAGGGTCCAGTGTTTCACAGATGACTTGGAGCAAGTGCCTTGTACACCTGGCCCTGGCACACTGGTGGTGTGGTCACATCATCTCATCTGTTTCTGGAGGGCCCCTCCCAGTATATCCTTTCAAGGTCTTTTCTCTGCATCTCTCCCCTTAACTCCAAGAGGCGGCGGCTGTACACTGTCTGTGTGATTTATGATTGTGCATCTGTATCTATTTTTGCCTCAAGTCTGTTACCATTTCCCATTGGACATGTCCTTAAATGCAGCACATGAACACACACACACACACACACAAAGAATCTGTATTAGGTGAAATGTGGACATAGCATTGATCCATGTGTTGAGAAAGTCGTTCCTGTTTTTACCAGTCTCAGTCTGTGTTGATTCAATGGGACGGTGCCTCTCTGTCGATGCTGGCTTGTTTGTGACAGCTTTCTAACACTTGCTCATTTCTCTTTTTATCAAAAAAAAAAAAAAAAAAAAAACAGGCAAGTCTTTACCATAACCCCATAAAAACACCATTACCACGAGTTGACATTTTAAAACTTCATTTGAATTGTATTTATTTGCATGCTCAATTTTTTTATAGGTTAAATGATACTGGTTTTCTACTTAGGTTGGTGGCATTTATTTCTTCTGAAACAAATAATATGAAGCGAGTAGATTGGATTAAGAGGTTTGGGTAAGGAATTGCATAATTGGCATGAAGACAGGGTCCTGTGTTATGAAGGGGCCACGCAGGTGTCTGAAATACGGGTAACAGGACCTTAGCATTACTAACACCTGCACTGCGATTCCCTCCCCACAGTGACGGAAGGTCGCGGGATCCTTGAGAGCATCCAGAGGTTTTCCTTGCTGCCCACCTACCTCCCCGTGACCTACCACATCAACAACGCTGACGTCTCCTTCTTCCTGAAGGAGGCCAACCAGGATATCATGAGGAACTCCAGCCTGCAGTCCCGGGTGGAGTCATTTCTGATTTACAAATCCAAGAGGCTGCCTGTTCTCAACGCCAGCTACGGGCCTTTCTCCATCGAGCAAGTGGTGCCCCAGGATTTAATGCTACCTTCCAACCCGTTTGGATTCACCAACAAATTTTCTCTTAACTGGAAACTAAAAGCCCACATCCTGCGGGACAAAGTCTACCTGAGCCGGCCCAAAGTGCAGGTTCTGTTCCACATCGTGGGCAGAGACTGGGACGACCGCAGCGCCGGGGAGAAGCTGCCGTGCCTGAGGCTCTTTGCTTTCCGAGAGACCAGAGAGGTGCGGGGCAGCTGCCGGCTGAAGGGGGACCTGGGGCTGTGTGTGGCCGAGCTGGAGCTCCTGTCCAGCTGGTTCAGCCCCCCCACGGTGGTTGCCGGCAGGAAGAAGGCCGTGGACCAGCCGGAGGGGACCCCCGTGGAGCTCTACTACACCGTGCACCCAGGGAACGAGCGAGGGGACTGCGTCAGGGAGGATGCGAGGAAAAGCAATGGGATCCGGACAGGCCACAGTGACATGGATGAGTCCGGGCCTCCCTTACAGAGGATCGGGAGCATCTTCCTTTACCAGACTCACAGGAAGCCTTCCCTGAGAGAGCTGCGCCTGGACAGCAGCGTGGCCATCCACTACATACCAAAGACCGTGAGGAAAGGAGACGTGCTGACTTTCCCTGTTTCCATCTCCAGAAATTCCACTGAAGATCGCTTCACGCTGAGGTAAGTCGTTTCCCCGTGTCTGTCTGTACTCGCCCGTCGATCAGGATCAGGTGGTGTTTTCGAGAAGCTGTTTGGCCAGATGAGTTGTGTTATCACTCGCCAAAGTGGAGCCGGCCTTCCCGTTTTTACAAACTCCACCTGCACGGTGGAGATCAGTCTGATCTTTCCGGGTTGGCAATTTGGTTGTGAGAATATTCGTCTTCATAGATTTTCCAGGCCATTGATGGTGCAGTCAGGGAGATGCTGATGGTATGCCTTTTGCCTTAGCTTCGGGCATTATCAGCAAGTTTGGGGAATGCTAAAGGTATCCAAGAAGCCTTTTCAAAATTGGAGAGTTAAATGCCTCCCAGCTGAAATGAGACTGCAAATGAAATGGTACCAGCTGTCAGAAAGGACAGAGAACAGGGTTTGCCAACTCAAAATCTATTCCAGATATGTAAGTTCTAAGTATACTATGGTACCAACCTCAAAGTTATCATTTTGTGTCTCCCTGGAAATAGAACTTGGTGTTCAAAAAAATAAATGAGCATAATGTGTGAAGAATATACAGTAGAATTTGTTGAGTTTCTTATATAAGAATATACCAAAGACAAGACATTGAAAATAAGCTCTGTGTACTTTAGAATAAATATGGGCTGCTTTTCACTTTGGAATATAATGTGCGAGGGAAGCTACTTGCCTAGGCTTGATTGTATTTTCATTATATAGTTTTAGTTTTATTTTCAACACAGGCAAGTTTGATTATAACAGCTGTTTAGTAGAAGTGTTACTGGGTTATTACAAATGTCCTAGCACTGCTGTACAACTCAACAGTTTGACTTGATGTGCAATGTAATAAAATGTGTGTTATGACTTCCAAAATTAGGAGCGCAACTGTATGTAAGATATATTTCATATGTGGGCTTACAGAGTTCATCCAGTAATGACCAGCTGTCTATCCCCCTTCATATGGGATTTATGGTTGCCTTCTCTAGCTTTTCTTTTCTTCTATTCTTTTTTCTATTCTTTATCCCTCTTTCTCCCTATCTCCTCCCCTCTCCCCCTTCCCCTCCCCCTCACCCCTCCCCTCCCCCCTCGTGCCTCCCCTCATCCCTCCCCCCTCGTCCCTCCCCTCTCCCCTTCCCCCACCCTGGCCCTCGTCCTTCCCCTCGACCCCCCTCCCCTCGCCTGGCCCCTCCCCGCCCCTTCCCCTCTTCCCTCCCCTCGCCCTTCCCCTCTTCCCTCCCCTCACCCTTCCCCTCTTCCCTCCCCTCGCCCTTCCCCTCTTCCCTCCCCCTTCTTCCTTTATGTTTGAAGGGTGGATGCGTTTAAGAAAATAAATCACCGTTTTGATTCTGTGTTGCACATTGAAGTTTATTTGATTGTGACCTAGTATTAGAAATGCCTTTTTGATTGTAACTAAAGAAACAACCTAATGGACATGCATCTAATGACCGAACCTGGCTAAGTCCTGGAAGGTAAAAAGCTTTGGTCTGGTTGGATGTGCCATTCGTGGATTAGCCGCAGGGATTTAGGGCACAGGAACACATCTGTGGGGCCGAGCCTTCATTAGCGTTCCCTTCCGTCCCTCTGGAAATCGGATCTAGATCCAGCTGGCCACAGGTCCTCAGCGAGGTCTGCTGGCTTTGTGTTTTACTTCTCTGGGTCCAAAAGTCTTACATAGTATTCTCTGTGAGGATGGCTGCTTGTGTAGAGAAATATTTTGGTGGTAGAAACAAAATGTTTGAATAGGGGAGCTTTGTTCTTACACCGTTTCATACTGTCTGCCATCTTTTAGGTCTGCCAACGACTGACTAGATTTTCTGAACCCGGGATTAAACACTGCAATCCCCTGAAGCTTTGACTCTGAGGAGATGAGAGCCACATGCGGCTTGTGTGTGTGTGTGTGCGTGCGTGTGTGGAAGCAGTGATATGTGTAGCACTGAATTTCACAGAAAGCTTTGTGTCTCATGACTTTATTAGACACTAAACATATCCATTAGGGTCCAAGGGTGGCTTTTATCTTTGGCAATCTGTAACAAAACCAAGATAAATTCACTATGCTTGGCTGCACAATATGAGGCTCCAAGTCTTGGCAAATTCAGAAGCAAATGCATTTGAAGCTTCTAAATTTGGTGGCTCCACTCACAGGTCAAAGTTTGGAAAATTTGGGAAATACAGCAAAGTATATTTGTTCACAGCCCATCAATTAGAAATGTCAATTCGATTTAAAAAATCAGTTTTACAGATAAGAACAACAATGAAGGAAATGTTTCATGAATGTGTGTTTACCTCGGTACAATGCTACACAGTTTCTTTAAGAGGTTGCATTTATAATGTGCTTGCTGCATACTTAAAACGCTCTGATTATGGATGAGTCTCATGTGTTTGTGTAAACAGCTGGAGGTTAACTTGGACCTGGCAAGATTATTCTTTAGCTTGAATCCCTATAATTAGAAAATAATAACACTGTATATCTTTTTAAATGAAGTCAATTTGACACTAATTTAGCATAGCTTCCAAATATTTAGAATTGGTGTGTGTCTGTTCTCTCTGGCTATCTGCTATAAATAACCCTGAAGGATCCAGCCAAATATCCTTGGGCACTTTTCTCCGAATTGTGACTGTGTTTCTAGACTCTCTGTGTTGAAAGTGCTGGCATGGCCCAGCGTCGAGCTCCTGTTTCATAGGTCAGGTACCAGTCAGACATCCAGGGCCAGTCAAGGATGAGCAGAGTGAGAGGGGACCAGACTAACTGCCACCAATGGGAGGGATATATGCAAATATGCGTCATGCACATTTGCAAATTGTGGACTGATGCAGTGGCTGCGGTTTGAGTTCTTTGTTGATAACGACTGACTACCCACTGTACACCTCTCCGGCGGTGTGCCTGTGGTCTCATGGGCACTCAGGGGCATGCGACGGCTGAAGCACAGGAGTTAGCTTCTTTCTCTGTGTGTACTTATATGCGGGTATATGTGCGTGTGTGTTTCACGCTTTAAGAACAAGAAAACCCAGGTGGGGCTGTTTGTCATCTTACAACTTCTGTTCTATCCTGGCTCTTCTATCTTCTGAAGGTGACACCTGCAGGAAAAGAAAAGCAAAATGCTTTCTTTCATTCCTGAGACATCTAACGATCTCATTCAATCCCAGAAAATGTTTTCCTTCAAGTGAACAACTGAAGCATCCCACAGCACTGGAAACCTTTCTTCTATATTTTTCTAGCCACATTCTCCTGTGTCCCTCCCCCACTGAGAGTGAGGCTCAGATGCATCCCGGTCTCTATTTACCTGCCATGGGCCTGGAGGAAGATAAGAACTGGGACTCTTTCTTTCACGTCCTCACCAGTTATTCTTCCATTCCTTTTCATCACAGGGAGTCAGTTTCCAAAGAGTTCTGGTCTTCAGATCTGAATGGAAGGCTGGAACCCAGTATGGGCGTAGCATTCCCTTCGTTACCTAACAGCCCAGAATAATCAGCCGGGGGGCCTATAACACTGGAACAAGCTCAGAGAAGGGGCTGTTCTTAAAGGCAGGGACATCCTTCAGTTTCTTGAATGAATGAATGAATTGCTGATTATTAACAAATATGTGCACTTTGCTGAGGTCTTTGCAGTTTTAAATGCTCAAGAATTTGTTAAGCACCATATGCCTAGCACTGTGATTGGCTTTAAGTCCAGGTCAGAATAAGACATTACCAAGGAGATATTCTTGCACAGGTGAGACTTAGAAAGGAGATAGCAAGATAATAAAATACGAGTGTTTGACAAGGGGCAGAAGTGAGCCTGGCATTGATGAGGCTCAGATGATATTCTTTGGTGGTTTGGGCAGCCAGATATGCAGAAGACTTAAAGCTTGTTAGGAAATAATATGGTGGTTGGAGATTGACCCTGTGAGCTTAATTCACATGAATGATGTAACCTTTGAACCTGTGTTGGCCCAGAATAGGATTTCTTCTTATTCTGTTTCAGGTAAAATATGCCCTGGTGTATCCAATGATAGTCTAAGTTGCAGGCCATAAATCACCCTCCAGCTAATTTAAGAAAAAATAATAAATAAAAGGGTTTACTGGATGGATATCATGGGACCCAGCTTGGCCATGCAGATTCGGATGGAGGTTGGAGGCCGAGTGTGGACACGGCAGCCTCCCAGCAACTCTCTCCTGCCCTCACAGTGAATTCCTTCCATAGTTCTCCTGGTTATCTGCACATAAGCTGCAGAGACCTCCATGCAGCCCCTGCTGAATCACCTGTCTACTAGCTGGCCGTGCCAGGGGTAGGAGAGGGACCAGATGCGGCTTCCATGAAGTAAAATGGTTCCTCAAATTACCTTTCTCTAAGAACACATCCCATGAGATGGGGCATTTTCCTCTTGTGAAGATTGGTGCACGGTTACAAAGAGGACAGATGTTGGTGTCTTCAAATTAGACCAATGTCCAGTGACATGTGGTCTGTACCTGGGATTGTACATCCCCTTATTACCTAGTGGGGATTGACAGAGCTGCTTGAAATAGAGAGAAGGGCAAGAAGCAGATAGGCTTTTACTCTCAGAACTGATTTGATTTTACAAAAAACTTGTGAACTTATTGCAGTGTTCCCATATGTCCCCGCTAGTTTCCTCTTTTATTAATACCTTACATTCGTGTGCTACATTTGTCCCAATTAATGCACCAATATTGACACATGATGATTAGCTAAAGTCCATACTTTATTCAAATTTCCTTAGTTTTTATCTACCGCTCCCCTTGGCTGTTCCTGGATCCCATCCAGGAGACTACATTACATGTAAGGGTCATGTCTCCTGGAACTCCAGTTCAAAGAAAAACTTCAACTGAATTAAATTCAAAGGAGTTCAATTGAGCAATGAATGACTCGTGAATCAGGCAGCTCCCAGAATCACAGCAGATTCAGAGAGACTCCAGGGGTGCCTTGTGGTCAGAACACATTTATAGACCAAAAAAGTAAAGTGATACACAGAAATCGGAAGTGAGGTACCGAAACAGCTGGGTTGGTTACAGCTCAG